TTCAGTGCAATTCTACATGAAAACCCAGAGCATCTGATTATAAATCTGCATTCATTAGGCTGAGTGCAAGAAAGAAACTGCTGATACCTTATTTGAGATGCAGTCACATAATACCACGTTTACTATATTCTAAATTATCATTGTATTGAGACAAATATGTGGGCTGTCACTGCTAACCTCTTAATGAAAATACTAGTTTGCCGGCTGTTGTGTTGATCCGAAGGCTTTAATACTTTCTGAGTGATGGCCTTAAAGTGCCATTGGGTCAAAAGGTTCTTAAGCCATTTCAAATGCGGATTAAATTACTTACAATGAAAGCTGACCTTTGATGTTTAAAAGTTTTAGCTTACTGCAGAATCAGCTGGTCCCCTGAGCACTGGCCCCAATATCCTGTTTTAGGGTGGCCCCTTTCCCTAGGAGGGTCTTATGGAGCCAACTTTGTGTGTGCTAGAAGGCTATGTGTGATCTTGTACTGTACAGGAAGCGGAATAGTTGGAGCCAACTGTTTGGAAACATCATGACTAAGTTCTCGGGCAAAAATATAAGGAAATACTTTGCTGGGCAATGTGCTGTTTGACCTGGATTCATCATTGAAAAAAAGGGTTTGCGAGTTTAATACTTCTTTAAGCAAGAATGTAGATCAATCAGGTGTTCTGACTTCTATGGCTGAACATGCATTCCAGGTCTGTGTCTTAGTATTGCAGCCAGGCTTCCAGTGAAAACCTTTTTGTTTTAGGGAAACTCTGTCTTACTAGCTGAACACAGCGTAAACGATTCAGTACATATTCTTCATGCACTATGACGAAGGAGAAGTTTCTCAAGAGTGGTAAAAGTTTAATATCTTGCTAAAAGAGAATGTTCACCAGTAAAATATGCTTTAAAAAGAAGTGCTCCTGTTTACTATAGCTAATCATTTAATGCATTCACACAGTCCCCGACACTGGACAAATAGGGTGGAGGCTGTGAACCAGCTACGTCAGACCATAAAGGTATAGTCTGAATTACATTTTTTCAAGCTGTATAACTAACAGAGCACAGCCTTCTAGCTTATAAAATTGTTCTTGTACAATTCAAGGCGACCTTAACTCCTTGTTAGCTTTTTAAGTGTCAAACGGCATTAAACACAATCAAAGCAAAGAACAATATACAAATGACACTAACCCTTAGCAAACCATAGTTCATATTTCACCAGCTAACTGGAGTACCTGAAATCTGACTGGCTGCTGAATTATATTGTCAATCTCTGCATGATCTTTATAAAGTGCATGCAACACCATTTTTTTTATAGTAGGGAATGGTTAAGACCCCCATTAATTGTTTGTCTGTGTTTCAGATATATAGCAGGAACAAAGAAGAAATCTCTCCAAAGCAGGTAATATATCCTATTAAGCTGGTCATACACCAGTAGAATTTCCATCACAATTTGTTTGATTAGCTGATGGGGGTCAAATCAATGATTGTTTTTAAACATAGTTTAAAAAAAATGGAGCGGGATAGAAATTTTTTCTCAACAAGCGAAATTCTAATAGGAATACACTGGAGAAAATTAAGTTAGTGTGTTGCTTGTGGCAACCAACTGTTATTTGGTGAAAGAAAGTAGAAAGTCAATAGATGATCAGTTGTTATGGACAACCATTGCAAGTTACCATGCTGTGCTTTATAGGCACGTTCTTGTCAACCAATGAGCTTTCTGTGTAGTATGCCCTCAAGAACTGCAAGTTTAATGCCACCTTTTCTACCGTGCCCTCTCGTCCAAACATCTGAAGATTCTCTAGCGGCCACAAAGGATATTGGGGCGGGCGATTGTGTACTTCAGATGTTCGGCCGGGAGATGAGGAGAGACACAAGGTAAGTCTGTGGAGCAGCGTGCACCCGCACAGACTCCGTGGGACATCAGAGAAGAGGAGGACAGAGGAGTCAGCGCTGGATCGGAGACCCGCACCAGCACTGGAGGGGCAGCTGTAAACTACACCAAAGAAGAAGATGATCAGATTAAGAGGCATCAGTTAACCACCTGCTGTCCGGCCGTTGTACTTAAACAGCCGGACAGCGGCTTCTTGAGAGCGGGTGGGCGTCTTTAGATGTCCCATCCCGTCCCACTCGTGCCCGCCGCTAGGCGGCGCGCACAAACTGGAAATCAGCTTTCTATGCAAACAGCCAGCTTTCTATGTAAACAGAATGCTTATATGGCTGTTTACATACAAGCGTTCAGGCGTCTGTAGAGACACCCGATCGCTTGCAATTGCGTACGGGTGTGCGCCCCCTCCGCCGCAGCCGGTGCTGGCGATCCTGGGCTCCACTGCTCCCGGTGTGAGCCCTGGACCAGCACAGCAGCTCTGCGGCCGAAGATCAAACGGAGCTCAGTACTCGAGCTCCGTTTGATCTCCTCTTCGGAATGCAGGCAGTGATGTGTATTACATCACTGCCTGCATTCAGTGTCACTCTCCGGTACAGAAACCGGAGAGAAGCTGGTGAAGCAGTTCTCTGCTTCATCAGCTTCTCTAGGGGTCCCTAGGTGACATTACGGGTCTTAAAGACCCCTGATGTCTCCATAAAGAGGACCTGTCACTGCAAATTGGCAATCATATAGGGAGCTTGTTTGCTCCCTATGTGATAGCAATAAAGTTAAGTGGAAAAAAAAAGTGACAACATTTTTTTACAAATGTAAAGTGACATATCAAAAGCAATAAAAAAACGTTAAGTCCCCCGCCCCCACATGCACACGCAAACATGCGTCGAGTCCGCCTATGTGTGAAAACAACGATTACATCCATTGCGCCGCACATGTTACATATCGCCGCGAACGTTGGAATGAGAGCAATAATTCTAGGGCCATTAATCACTGATAACACTAAACTGATGAGCGGTAAAAGCTTTTAAAATCGACGGTTATGGTCAATTTTGGGTATAGTAGTTTTTTTGCGATTTAGCGGGTGCGCCCAATTTTAAAGCTTGACATGTTTGGTGTCTATTTACCCGACGTGACCCAGTCTTTTATATTTTACCAAAAAATTGGGTAATAAAAGTTTTATAACATAACGTAAGGAGAACAGGTTTTTTTTCAAAATTTTCGGTACTTTTTTCATTATATAGTAAAAAATAAAAAAACCCGTAGAGGTGATTTAATACCACCAAAAGAAAGCTCTATTGGTCGACCACAAAATGGTATAAAATGTATTTCAGTACAGCGTTGCATGACTGAATAAATATCAGTCAAAGTACCGCAGCGCTGAATACTGAAAAATGTCCTGGACAGGAAGGGGGTATAAACACCTCGGTCAGCAAGTGGTTAAAGGAAGTCCATACACTAACATTGGGGAGGGGAAAAAAAAAATAGCCTTTAATGTCACTTTACGTGCAACTCCAGGCAAACAGATAAATACATGGTTAAATTACATATAGGTTTACTGTTTTACCAGCCAAAGGATTTGTACTGTTGGCCTGCCATTCTTGTGATACATACACCTCTGTTGCCTGTAAGATCACTCTGCCATTTCCTGCTTTTGTTTAGGTGTTTTTAACAATATAGTAACATTTATATCTGTGCTTCGAACAATCATAGCCGAAAAATAAGAAGGAAAAAACAGATTTTTGTTCAGTTCCCCATTGTTGCCGATGTACCATAATATAGGAACATCTGGCAATGCTTTCATTGCTTCCTTTTACAGTCATTCTAAAACTGAATAGGAGTATGCATGCCAAGTGTTTGCACCACTTTATTTTAAGAAAACATCAATAAGAACAATGACAGTGATAACAGAATCAGTCATATTATAAGTAGTCACCCATATTAACCAACCAGAATTCATTTTGCTGTAGCTATACCTATACAAATGAATTCTGATTGTTTGCCATAGATAGCGTTGCATACAAATTGGTCCTTTATTTCTTGCAGTTTTTACTGAATAATGCCACAGGTATCTGTACTTACTTATGCATAGTTCCTGTCCCTACACTGCTGGGCTTTCAACATGCCAAAACTGCCCACTACACTGCTGGGCTTTGAACATGTCAAGACTGCCCACTACACTGCTGGGCTTTCAACATGCCAAAACTGCCCACTACACTGCTGGGCTTTGAACATGTCAAGACTGCCCACTACACTGCTGGGCTCTGAACATGCCAAAACTGCCCACTACACTGCTGAGCTCTGCACATGCCAAGACTGCCGCTATACTGCTGGGCTCTGCGCATGCCAAGACTGCTCACTATACTGCTGGGCTCTGAACATGCCAAGACTGCCCACTACACTGCTGGGCTCTGAACATGCCAAGACTGCCCACTACACTGCTGGGCTCTGAACATGCCAAGACTGCCCACTACACTGCTGAGCTCTGCACATGCCAAGACTGCCGCTATACTGCTGGGCTCTGCACATGCCAAGACTGCTCACTATACTGCTGGGCTTTGAACATGTAAACCTGTCCACTGTACTGCTAGGCTTGGAGCATGCTAAGACTAGTCTTTGAAAAAATAGAATTATATTTAGGTAACTTTAGGTCCATCATAAAATGCAATATACTGTATATCTGCATGACTATGCTATAAATATTTGCACATACATCGTAATAAAAAATGTTTTTCCTACTGTGAACTACCCATGTCTTCTATATGCAAAATTAGTTCTCTTAGGAAACCAGAAAACAAGAATTAGCGAACAGCATATGAGTCATGACTTGTTGATGAAAAGAAAATGATGAAAATAATTCTGTACATCCTAAAATCCCCTAAGCATCTCTGGTACTTTCGTATTGGTTCTATAGATTGTACACTTGCTATATGTACTGCACCATCTACCAGTTGAAGGAAAAATATCTGTAGAAAATAAAGGGATAGGGGGGGTTCAGCTTGGTATTCTGCATGTAAGGAATTATTATAGCCATGTAAGTGATTTTACAGGTCATTGCAATTATTATGGGGGAAGTTCCGACATATACAGTTCTTCCCGAAAGATTTCTCGTTTAACGGGGTTTTCTTAATATTATGCCAAAAATCCTTACCGTACTAGTGAGGTATTTTTCAGTCAGTAGTTGCCCACATTCTTTACGCTTCTCATCTGGAGATACTTCATATTCAGCCTTTAAAAAAACAAAAAACAAAAAAAAGGAATAAGGTTTGTGGCACAGAAAGAAAATGGATAGCCTGTTGTAAAATTTAAATATTGGACTCTCACCACAGCATCTAGGAAGTGGACACAACGCAACAGCTCTGGCCTAGTCTCACAAAACTGACGGAAGAGGAGCCGCCCAATGGGTTGCCGGTCACAAAGACTGTGATAATCGTGTTCTGCAGGATACAAGAGCACAATCATTCATACATGTAAGTTATTTACCTGGCCTACATATTCAACAAGTAACAAAAATAAGCCAGGAAGGTATGTTTTCATTTCCCAAAGGCAGATCTAGCTTCACGAATCACTTACAATGAGAAATGTTCCTATATATGGCCAAAGCAAGCAAGTTTTAACCTAAAGATGACCACAAAAAAAGTTTTATAACAAATAAAATATGGTGGAGAACATCTAAAGTTGTTGGCAGATATTTTAAGTTTTACATGTATTTGTGAATGATATTCATGTTTGGGTTTTTTTTTTTGCATTTAGGTTGACTGGTCGCTTAAAGAAACGTTATGAGCGAGCTGACTGCTCACACATTTGTTTTTGTCACATGCATTTTGATTGACATTAGGTGGGCTAAAACACAAAGAAGCTGCTGGAACTTAATGCCATTAAAAGCTCAATCCACAGGGTGGGAAGAACAAAAGGCCAGTGAGGACATCTAGAGAAGTAGAGGCAATGATGACATGTGTAGTCTAAAAGAGCAAACATTTCCAGTGTACTCTCTAAATTCTGCAGGTCGAAGAACAACAGAACAGAAGGCTAGTCTACATAAAAGAAAATTCTGTTCTTGCTGTGTTTTTTTATAACAGAAATTAGCTTTAAAGAACTAAAAATTAAAAAAGGGAGGGTTTTTTGGGGTTATAGGAATCATTTAAAATGGTAATTGTGCTTAAGCAAAAACTTTTTTTGTAGAATTCCTCTGGAAATATAGCAGTGCATCTCCAGGTATGTAAGGGGTGCCTAAGCACTCCTGACCGTACAGCCTCATAGCTGTATATCTGTAAGGCACTGCTGCCCCTGACTGCTAGTCTTAGGAGAGTTGGAGTGAGATTTGGTGATGCCATTACTGTGCTGCTCACAGTTATTGCTGGAGGCTACCAAGTTGGTTTTCCTTGATGGAGCCTACAAAGTTGGCCTCCATCCAGAGACACAGTATAGAACAAGGCATGGCAAGTAAGTATTGAGGAAAGGATCAGCTGCAGGAAGACCACACACATGCACAGCCCCAGATTTCATTAATGGTTGCTTGCATCTCCCAGGGATTCTTGTGGTCTGCAGACGTTGATTGTGGAAGTGAAATACCACCCAAAAGATGGGTGAAAACATCTTACACATTAAAAGGTGGGCAGGAACAGAGCCAGGAACCATGGCAGAGAGAACTAGCCACTAAAGTAGCCAAGAAATATACAAATCTAATTGGTGACACACAGATTCCACCTGTGAATGAAATATCACTTTTGGGTTTAATAAAGCAGTGTAAGATGCAATGGTGATCAAAAATACACAGGAGGTCACAATTTGTCCGTTCTGAGCAATGAATGATGGTTGCTAAGGGTGTCTGCAATTTATTTACCTTACTCGTTTACTACCAAAGAAAAGTCTCTACCACAGTCATCAACTATATAGCCAGTTTGGGTGGGGGCAAAAACACTGACATATGTTACCTGATCGTGAGAAAAACCAGACCGATCAGAGGAAACCCACATGAAACATGCAAACTCTATGCAGATCGTATCCTTGGTGAAGAATAGCTGCAAGGCGAGAGTGCTATTTAGCTGCCATAACTATATGCAAAATCATTTTTAATTTAATTTGTTGCAAATGAATATGAAAATTACTAACGCGTTTGTATCTGACACCACCCCTTAACTACGTCAATCTGTCTGACAGCACTAGCCATACACTAGTTCCATTTTCCTTAGAATGTATCACTTAGATCAGCAACATTTTACAAAAACTGTAGTGTGTAGCTAAATAAAGCAAAATGTTACTATTTGTCTAACAAATAGCCCAGAGCTGTTAAAAATAAAAAAAGCTGCTCACACTGCAATCCTCACCTCCTTTCTGGGACTGTTTCCTGACAACCCATTGCTCTACAATCCAGTGGCAGTGGTTTTCTGGTTTGAATAATACCGAGTATCATTCAACGTACTCCCTGGAGTGCAGGGCATCATGAACTGTGGGGTGTCACCATGGCACCCTGCTCTCACAATATAAATGCATACCGCGGAAATCATTAGGGGCAGCAACACTCTCACCATCATGCATCTGGCTGGGCTTTATAGGGAACCTGTACTTTCCCCATTTAAGTGAACCTGTGCTTTGTCCATGCAGAGCAGAACAGGTTCCCTTTATTATCTACCCTCCCAGCAGCACATACTCATCTTTTCTGTACACCCTGGCCGCTCCATTTGAGGAAAGGAGCGACAGAAGGAAGCCTTGTGCAAACTCTGAGTCACTCTATTCTTAGCTTACGCAAGACTGAGGACCCTCCCCGTCCTTACGTGACAGAGCTGGCACATGGGGTCAGTTACGTGCGCCTTCATACCCAGAAGTACCAGGTATTTTTGTCTTACTTGCACCCAGCAACAGGTTTCTTAGCCTTCCTTGTGCCAACTTTCCATTTGCTCTCCCACCACCCATACAGATCTCATGTCTAAGAGCCTTTCCAGAATACCTGTGCAAGTTCCTGGTCTGCTCTAGGTGTCAAAACTTTCTCTATGTGCCCAGATGAGAGCCAAATGGGCACTCAGGTACCTACCAGTGCACCCTGTGATGAAGGTGAGTATGTCACATAATCCCTCACACCCATGAATAACCTACATTTAATGCGACTCCAGCAGGCAGATGGGGCAACCAGGAAATTTAGAGAAGCTTAGTATCAGCAACATTAAATTAAACTGATACAAATTCACATAGGACCTCACGCTATATAGTTGCTGGTAAATTAAGGAAAAATCTAACTGGTGTGTGACCAGCTATATGAAAGAAGTGCTGAAGGCAGCCAACCCGAAGAGGGTTTATAGTAATGACTGGTTCAAAGTTTGCCAAGGGAGACCCTTGTATGTGCTACTATGCTGAAAAAGTTCCCAATGCAGCATGGGAGAAGCAGTGATCTCAAACAGGAGCAAATCGAAAACTTGCACATGTATCTTTAGAGGCAGAAAACAAGCAAAAGTCTTTTCCAGAGAAAGGGATTTCAAGTGGAAGCATTAACACAACAGTTCCCGTCTCTGTTTAATTACCTGCTGATCTGACCAGTAGATCCGGTACTTCACTACTTCTTACAACAGGGTGACAACACTGTTCGTTCTGCAGTAAAATCATGATGCAGAGTTGTCACTCTGTGGACAAGTCTTAGGCTGGCCACGCAGTCCTTTATTTTTCTTGTTGACCCTGTGGGCTGAATTTAAAAAACAGAGCCAATTCCTCCATCAACACTGTCAGAGTGTCGATCGAGGAATCCTGCTGTCTGCATTGTATTGCCACTGTCAGAATACCCGACCAGAGATCATTGGCTGCCGACTCTGATCGTACGAAGATTTTCCGTCTGGCTCCTTCGGTCAGCTGATCGAGGGATGTCGACCAAAAAGGGTGTGGACACACACTGTGCAAATTTCGACTAGTTCCTCAAAAAAAAAGAAGTGTATGGGCACCCTTAAACTGACATGCAGTTTTTAATAAGCAACAATATAAACAATATATAACAAACAATATAGAGTCACGGGTGCTCGTGTCCCAACAGACGCTCAATATGTCTTGCTGAATCGCCCTCTTCCAGGGCTCTCTAAAGCCAAATCACCAAAGATCTCCTTTAAGCAACTTAAATAAAAAAATCTCGTGGATAATAATACACGAGAAGATGCATAGCATTCTCCATGACACGAAAAAGCGATTTGAGTCTATATGGTCCCGCTGGATGCTCTATACTGGCATGCTAGATGCCTCATGATCCATACCTGTGTTTTTTGATGGGAGGTAGGAATGAACTATCCGGTAGTCTTCTCTCTCTTTCTTTTTACCTTTCCTGTTCTTTCTCACGCCTATCTCTCACTCTTTTTCACTTCTTTTCTTCCTTTTAATGCCTAGGTGTTGTTGTGCTTTGTATTTTAATATAGAGGTGGATATGACTTGTACTTGACCTTCGTAAACAATCTCTGTGTAATGCCACCTTGCTACTCTGCCTCACCTCACAGGGCTTCCGCTCTGCCTGCTCTGATAATTGCCTTAATTTTGTGATTGTTATGCTTGCTGCAAAGGAAGCTGGGCCACGTTTTCGGTGGAGACCAGGCCCTGTGCTATCAAAGTAACCCGTGACACTGTTGTGAATATGTCTGGATTGGTTTTTTGTTGTCGTTGAAAAATTAATAGAATACTTTGAAAGTAAAAGAGAAGTGCGGGCAAGAGAATAATTTACACTCCTCGATGATTAGAGCCGGTGTGGGGCACCACAGCGGCCACACGCCGGCTCTAAGCCAGAGAGCTGACTGATCACGTGACTGCTGGTCGCTCAGTTCTGTCTCTGCTCCCAGCAAAGAGCAGTAACTGCCAGTCAATGTCCCCCACAGGGTTCCCCATCCCCCTCGGCTGGAGCTACAGGCCAGGGAGGGGGCTAGCACAGTCAGTTCCAACTCTCAGCCAGATGTCACTTAGGCAGCTGAGGTGGTTCTAGACAATGTCGGAATCCTTCTCGACTACAGGGCGACTCTGCCCTGTCAGCTGATAGTGGACATTAATCCACTATCAGCTGACTTTGTCACAAAAGTACATTAGCAAATGTACTGCTGTGACCCAAAAGAGAAGAATAGCCCCCCTCCTCCCCCCAAAAAGGGGATTGACTTTACTTCTCTTTAAACCACATATAGTTACCATACTGTACCAACATTTTAGCTATAGTGGGCCTTTAATTATAAAAATGGGATGGGGTTACCTTATGTGGTCATTCAGATATTAAAGCAGAACTTTACTCACTTCCCCACACCAACATTGTTTCCTCTGTTTCTTCAGGTTTTGTGTCTTTGGTCTTCTGGATTGACCGGCGAGAGATGAATAAACTCCAGCGAATGCACATATAAGTTCATTCATCCCTGGACAGCTCAGTGTACATTCTAAAGAAGACTTCGAACAGGCAAGTTGCATTTATTTTATTGCAGAAGAGACACGGTATTGCACTTCTGCAATAAAGCAACTGCCTGCTCGCAATTTCCATTCCTTTTTTTCCTTTTATGTTTACTTCTACTTTAAATGCATTTTAACGAGAGAGAAAAAAATTGGGCATGGCAGATTCTGCGCTGAAATAATTATACAAAAGTGTACTACATTGCACATACACAGGAAGTGGGTTAAGTACCACAGCAAGAGGAAGCTGTGCAACACTCTTAGTCAACACTAACTACAGAACCTTTTTCATCAGTTATTGCTTGTGACATAACAGACATGTCAAATCCGAAGTAAGGCGGGCCGCCATGGACGACTCACCGATTGTACGCCTTAGCTCCTCGCATTCGCTGATATGTGGAAACTGCAGCATCTGTCGCCATTTTTTGCTCTTTCCTTTTCGATTTCCTCCGCCACCTGTAAATAAACAGGACACCTGACAGGTCCAATCCAACACGGCAGATGACAGGCAGGGTATGTGTGTGTGTAGGCAAATCCCCAACTAGGTTTGACTAAGGTTTCCCAAGAATTAGGAAAATACTATTAACATGCAAATAAATGAAAATCATTTCAAACATTGATTTTCTCTCTGATACACGGAATGTAGTAGGCAGCTTATGTGCTGCACAAATACTAATGATCTGCATAATACAATTTTTCCAGCTTAAAAAAACTCAAGCTTACTTTGCTGGTGAAGGTGCAATAAAGGGGGATATGTAACTGACAGAGAAATCTTACTGCAGTCTGGGAAGATATCTGTTCAAATGAAAACCACTCACTCATGTAAAGATTATAAAATCTGTCTGGAAAGCACATGAGAAAAACGGATTGCATCTTATAGGCCAACTCCACCTTTTATACCATGTTCCATGTCACACCCATGATACCCCCTCTAACTAGATTGTAGGCTCTCATGAGCAGGGCCCTCCTAACCCTCCTGTATTGAAATTGTATCTGTACTGTCCCCTTCTATTTTATATAATAATAATAATAATATTTAGAGTACACTGATGGTGGTTGCAATGCTTTGCAGGCTCCAATGTAAAAATGTAATACATAACCATTTTTCTTTATACAATATGGGTGCATTTATTTATTTTTGGGAAGAAGTGTTTTGTTTTTTTATTGATTCCTGTATGACCTATTAGTGTGTGTGCCCTAATTAGGTTTGTTATTGATAGGAATGATGCTAAGTAGTGATCAGCTGGGGCTTGGTGGGAACCCAGTTTGCCTAAGCCTGCTCAAAGCTGTGACTGACCCCCCCTTCCTGGCCCAATCTGATGCCACAGGGCATTTCCGCCCCATTTAGCTGCTGGAATGGATTAGGCCAGAAAGGGGGCGTGTAGGTCACAGTTCTTAACAGGCTTGGGCAAACTGGGTTTATACCAAGCTATAGCTCATCACTAATGATGAGCAAGGATAAGAAATTGAGAGTTTTCATTTCCCAAAATTTTTTGACAATTTGGAGATTTCGCCGAAAGTGCACGATTTTGGCCATATGGATTAGGATTAATGGGGGGAGGTAAAATTCAGGTGGTTTTTACTTGTACAATCGGCTTTAAAATGCCCTATAGGGTTACAAAAGCTCAGTTCAACTATCTCGGACCTGTTCTTGTGTCACAAAAAAACACTTCTAGTTACCCTCAATATTTAAAATACATTTCCCACAGAAAATAAATATCAGACAACGAAACCAAAAGTTAAAATAAAAAAACAAAGTCACAGTACACATCAAATACACAAAAAAAGGACACAAAGAACACTAATTATATAATTTACACAACCTTACATACACTGAAAAAACACACTAAGAGAAGAAAATATAAGAAACAAGAAAATTTTGCCCAATCAGTTTATTGAGCAAAACCGAGTGTTCCCCCCTTGATGAAATGTGGCTGATGGTGAAATTGGTCATTTTGCTGCAAAATCACTCGGCTCATCCCTAATGCTAAGCTAAAAGCCACTTAGCCACTGAGAGTGATCTTTACGTCTCTAATGACATTTCCCCAATCCCAGCAATACTAGTGACCAGGGAAAAAAGATCCATCAAATTATTCCCACCCAGGAAAGCTAAGAGCACACCTATGGAATGATGTTCAGAATGTGACATCAGCTTTTCATTGATCACATTGCCTGTAGCTATGTGGGGTTCCCAATAAATGGTAGCTGACATCAAAGCTCTAATCAAGCCTGTCCAAACACTCATGCATAGGGTCATAGTGATATTTACATTCATACATATAGAGAGTGTCTCTCGTTCTTGCACTTTGTCAGCCACATGTAACTTTCATGCAGCTGCTCTGAGCCCCCTATACCTGCACACACTCACCTTCCCTGGCTTTCAGCAGCACGGTGTTGGCTACTATATTCTCGAGCTCCATAGATCGGCCTGGCCGGGGGCTGCGAGCCTCGGGCGGCCACTCACTCTCTGCTAGACTCTCAGCACCCAGCTGCCAATGACAGACCCCACCCACCCCGGCCAATCAGCGTTCCGCCGCACCCCCTGACAAGACGCCAATTGGCTGAAGATTTCAATTGCCACTAACTGTATTCCAGTGCGCGCTGCTCTAATCACTTTCTCCGCTGTCAGAATGCTTGCGCGATGATTGGACTGGAAGATAAAGCGGGCGGGGCTATCCTCGAGCTCTGCTCTCGGATTGCGTGTTTGAGGCGTCAGTCAGTGCTGCCCTAATTTGTTTAGGAACCTATGGGGGACACGCTTCCCAGACTCTGCGCTACAGATGTCCTCAAGCCCGTGTGGTGGTGACGTCATGGGGACCATGTGTTGGTTGGCGGAAGCTAGAGCTATTTGTAAGGGGGGTTGGCACGCTGACACTGCCATTGAATTGTAAACAGGAGCTGAATGTGCACACAACAAATAATGCGACTCTACATGATACTTTCGTCAGGATATCTGTTTTAAAGTTTATAGCTGCAATGTCTACAGTTAAAGACTGTGAGCGTTTCCCCTAAAGACTGTCTATGCTTTTCCATGAAGTCAAAAACTTCAGGTGTTACATATAGTGAGAAAAATTATTGCTTTTTTGTTTTCAGCGAATAAAAGAAATCTAATAGATCACAGTGAATGACAACTCTTTGGGCTCATGAACATAAGAAAATATTGCATTTTTTTTTCTTTACAAATCCCAAACCAAGTTTTATTGTTTTTTTTAAGCCTATGCATAAAGATCACTAAACCTGCAATGCTTTCAAATCATAATAGAAAAATCTGCTTCTCAGGCTCTGCGTTTGACCATATTTTACGCTGTACACATGTAAACATTTGTGCTAACGTTCACATGCATACAGCACCAATGCACACGATTGGAGCTGTCTGTATCCTAACAACAAAGGTTGCTAGGACACAGGCAGCTTGAACCACCTTCATTTGTAGGATGCAGGCAGCTCAAGCTGCCTAGAGTTCTTTGTTGCCAGGATGCAGGCAGCGCAATCTTGAGCCTCTTGGCATCCTTTGTTGCTAGGATGCATGCAGCTCTTAGCAACCATTAGGACACCTTTGCGCTATGTGCTGTAGACATGTAAACCTTGCACAAATGTTGCATGCGTACAGAGCATTTTTTTACGCAGGATCTTGCTGCCAACTTATGTCAACAAGATTCTGTATAGTAGTTGATGTATTTTTACACAGCCATGTGCCTGAGCCCTTTATTGTAATACCTTGTTTCCTAGATTTTTATAAACAATCTATTCAAGTACCTGAACTATTAACAAAAATGTATCTTATTGTGTATCACTCAGCTGTAGAACCTCAAATCATCTCTGAATTGGAGCTGACAATGTCCTTCCTTCTGAAGGGTGGCTACTTATGTTCCCCATGGTGCCTGTGTGTGTGTGTGTTGTAAAGTAGCCCCCGCACCAAGCTCACTCCTGTGATGGACTACTATCTCACATTTAGTTTGCTAATTTGTATTGAAGGTATAGTCTATCAGAAGAGTGAGCTTGGATTGGTGGCTACTTTACACCATATACACGGACCAGGGGGAACAAAAGTGATACACAAATAAGCTAAATTTTCAATAGTTAGGGGACTTGACTTATTTTTAAGGTTTAACTCCTGAGTTTAGTGTCACTTTAATGTATTTGTCAGATGAGAAGGGTTAGAGTGAGGGTCCCTTTAGATTGGCGGTCAATGGAAGAAGATATACATTGGTGATCAGGGGCACTAATGACTTCTACTTGCATGGAAGGAGGACTACTGCTTACATTGGTGGTCAGGGGGAAGAATGTCCCTTACATTGGTGGTCAGGGGGAAGGATGTCTCTTAAAGTGGTGGTCAGGGGAAAGAATGCCCCTAACATACCTAGTCAGTGGGAAAAATTCCCCTTATATTGGTGGTCAGTGGGAAGAATGCATCTCATATTGGTGATCATTAATAAGATTGCCTCTTACATGGTTAGTAGGAAGATTTTTCCTTGCATAGGTAGCCATCGGGAAGACTGCACACTTACAGACAGCAAAAAAGATCATTGTTGTCAGAGGTTACCATCTGACATTGCTCATTTCTAAAGGAATCCCTAGTAACCTCTGACGAAACCCTGATTGAGAAAGGTTGCAATAGTGACTCTTCAAGGAACCCTATCCCTCCTCAACCTAACCTCTTGACCATCACTTTCTCAAACAACTCATTCCCACATAGCTACCACCTTTTGTTTCACTTGCCCCTCCCTTTTAGATGGTAAGCCCTCACGGTCAGGGCCCTCCTTACCATCTTGTATTGAATTGTATTGTAATTGTAATGTCATCCTTATTTTGTAAAGCGCTGCACAAACTGTTGGCACTATATAAATCCTGTATAATAATAATAATGATAGAGTAGTAAATAAATTGATAGATAGATAGAAAGATGAGAGAGAGCGAGAGAGAGAGAGAGAGCGCGAGAGAGAGAGAGA